CACTTCTGAATTTCAGCTGTCTTTTGTTGAGTGTGCTCTTTTAGTCTCAGACTCGCCAGGCAAAGGACAACTTCCCTATAAAAGCAAGCACTGCAACCCAGGCTTTTCCCTAAAATCAGCTTCTAATCAGGATTTTACAAGACAAAGAACCACAGAAGCCCAGACTGCTCTGTATCTTGGGCTTCCCTGTAATTCCAATTGGTTTGTCTACCTGCGACAGTCTCACCCTCTCCTTGTGTCAGTGCAATTCCTTTGACCACGGACTTCACTTTGAGCTCATGGACATTGACGGAAACAGACTCAGAAAACCCGATGCCACCGTTCATTGGTTTCTGCTGGCTTCCTGAACTGAAATGGCTCCGCATGTGGCCAAAACCCAGCAAATGCCAGCACAAGCAAGGACTCGCAACTGAGGACAAGGGGGTGACAGGAGTGCCGAGGTTCACCAGTTTATGCCAGTATGTAGGCAGCCTCGGACATAGCGACGTTTCACTTTTTAAAATAAGCATTTTGGGGTTTAGATTAAAACATATTTTTGCATCCAGCATCAGCCTCCAGAAGAAATGATCAGAAGAAAAGAGTTTTGCAATAGAACACTGAAGTTGTTTCTTTTATTTAGTTTAAGAGTAAGCTTGGTTCTGCTCAGTCCATGCATGTTAATAGTGGGATACTAGCTTGGACAAAATACTTTTCCAGCTTGTTTGGATATTGACTGCTAGATCCCAGTTGAAATCAGAAGTCAGAAATAAAGTATGTTCCACCAACTTCTTCAGTTGTTTTTGAATCAGTTAAGCCTGTAATTGCAATGGAAAACATAAGGTAGATAAACTCCAGCTTTTTAAGTTAGGAAATTACATTAACTTCAGTCAGTCTTTGCTTTGGTGTTATAAGCCTTATGTTGAAATTCATAGTTTAGAAATCTGAACCCTATTTAGCAGAACAGAGATAGCCACTGTGTAAACCAGATGATGGAAATGATTTTATTTTAAAATAAAATAAAAAATGTGGGTTTATTTCCAGTTCATGTGTTATCAATTCTCTACATCAAATACACATACTCCTAATACAAATAGGCATAAATATTTTTGTATATATTTTCAAATTGCAAGTCAGCCTACCTACATTTAAAAAAAAAAAAAAAGTCTTTACATTCAGAACTGAAGCATTTTCCCCTACCTCTATCTCAGTTCATAACTCCAGGCACATTTTTCTGAGAAGCTGACAACCTTACAAGGTCTTTAAACAAGGAACTACAGAAATTCAACATCTCATTACTTGAGATACTTGCTTCAAACAATTAAAAGATAGTATCTGACTCAGAATAATATAAGTTTATGCAGCTGAGACTAAGGTATCAAAAATGCAGGATGTCCAAGGTATTATAGATACTTTATAGCATTCTGATTTTCTTCTCCAACAAATCACAAGACACTGGGGTAGAAAAGGGAAGATCTATAAGCAATCAGAACAAACTTGTTTATGTTATGCCCTAGAGATTATGAACACCCAATTACAGCAGTAATTGTACTCAAACAGTGCTCAAAAGGGAGAGTCAGAAGAAGAAAGCACAAACACAATGCACATGAAATTTAACTTTTTATTTTTCTGTTGATAAAACCCAAAGATCCCTCACAGCAGCAACAGATGCAGAAGTTACCTGCAGAAATATACCTCTTTTTAACCTGTCTGCATATCCAAGTATGCCAAGTATGTAGGGACTGCATATCAACACAGTACAGGCACTGCTCAGTAGTAACAGAGATCAAGTTTCTCGGCATATTTTAATCCATCCTTTCCTTAATACTATAGGGTTTTCATAGTATTAAAAATTACTGGTAATGAGTTGTTTGTTTATTGGTTTTTGTTGTTGCAACTTAAAAACTTATCAGATTCTACACGTACAATTTACATGCCCAGATACAACCCCCAACGTTTTGTAGTAGTTGACAAACTGTATCCAAATGCTACGATTCAGAATGAAAACGCTACTGCATTTAGCAGCTCTAGCTGCACTAGAGTAAATATTTCCGTAGAATAACAAAACACACCTCTTTGTTCAGTAACACAAGGGATACAGGTTTTAAAATACACATTTCTATCTTGCATCCATACCTTTCTTTAATATATATATATTTATATATAGCTCTAAACCAAATCTCTACTATTTTACAATTAAATTAACACACATCCACAATTGGTCTAACTAGTGATTTTGGTCTCAATACTTTAAACATCAGTTGTTCCATAAAAATATACAATTCAACAACATGGTTGTGTCAGTACCCAAGGCCTTCTGAGAGAGGCCTATGACACACAATCAACCATGCAGTTCAGTGCTCAATGTCGTCTAACCGATAAATATTTATACTACATTTTCAAACTATCAGTATCTTTAAAATCCAAATTTCTTTTTGCAGGCTTACCATGCTTACAAACATGCAGAAAGCAATCACATTTCTCACTTGCCTGTAGCAATCACACTTTTTTCTTTTCCAATAGATCAACGGACAAAGCACAAACTTTACGCTGTCATTTTTGGATCGCTAACCTTTTCCTGTCTTTCACATACTGAATTATTTCACAATGGATCACACTGCTCCAAGTGAAAAGACTAGGGATTGACCACGTAGTAAGAACTGCACTATTCAATTTAAGCTTCTAAGAATCAAATTACTAACAGTCAGTTAGGATGCACTCGTAGCTGCCATACAAGTGAACAGACACCCAGTAGACAACCAAGTTAATTCTAGATATATACCAAAAGGTGAAGCTTAAAACAAAAACAACCCCAAAAACCAACCAAAACACCAAAACCTAAACTACACAAATACAGCCTCAAACCTGGTAGATTCCAAGAAGTGGACCTCTGTCCAGAAATTTTCTTCAAAACAGGAGACAAAAAACGTGCCACCAACCACCATGCTTGAGATAAGACATTAATTGCTTATAGCTGGAGATTTCCTTATTACCACCACAGCACCATTTCACATAAAGTTTTATAGCAACGGTCAAGTACTACTTCTGTAGTACAAAGAAGAATCCACAAAGCCAGAAGCAGTCAGTAATAAAACCCCAGACAAGTTCACATGTTCACGGTAACCTGGCATATAAGCCTCAGAACATTTTAATCTTGTAAATGTAATAATCAATAATTTAGGTACTAACTATTCCAAGACCACTACAGTAAGTCTGTAGATAAGACTACAATAGAACAAGCTAAAAACACAAGAGAGGTATGACAATTAACATGAATATTTCTTTTGAACGGCAGAAAGTCGGGGAAACATCTGGAATTTGCACTGTGTTAATATATCTTCTGTTTCTGAATATAAAAATACATCTAGAGAGTCAATCCAGAACTGCATACACAATTACATTTTTCCCCTTAACTGCTTTAGAATTAGTACAAAATAATGTAAGTTACAGGAATGATTGTTGCAAATTCGTGTATGTTGGCTATTACAAAATCATTGTATGAGAAGACCAACTGTAAATTATTTACAGGCGAGGTAATACAATCTCCAGAGTAAAGAATTACAATTTAGCAGAAGTGTAAAAATAATGTACTCACCAAAACATTACAAAATCTGGTATCATTATCAGCTACACAGTAGATCATGATTAGGTTTTGTAGTTGATATACAACATATTATTAAGAAAAGTGCCAAAATACTGCTACGTAAGAATTTTTTTTTCTCCAAAATCATTCAGCAAAAAAACCTGCAGATTCTACATTAAGTAATGCCGAACGAAAACAGGAACAAAGAGGGAGGCCAATTGTACAAGTACGTCTTATTAAATGCCTTTGTAAAAACTGTAAATTCACTTCCATGCTTAAAGGTCTGACATGAAAGAGACTTATTAAAAACAAAATCAATAGAAATATCAACATAGACACTTTTTCAGGCTATCTTAGGCCATTTTAAAAGTACACATTCCTCAAATTGTGAAACACATGGAGACTGAAAACATTTTAAAAACGGCTGAACTGCCAAAGGTTGTTGTGATCAGTGGCACAAAGTCCTGCTGGATACCAGTCACTAGTGATGCACCCCCAGGGTCTGTACTGGGGTCCGTACTGTTTAACATTTTCATTAAGAAGGCGTGTGACGGGACAGAGCACACTCTCAGCGAGCCCCTCAAAAGGATGTCAGCAGGCTGGAGAAATGGGCAAACAAGGCTCTCAAAGTTCAGCAAAGGAAAGTGCAAAGTCCCACACCTGGGGAGGAATAACCCTATGCACCAGTACAGGCTGGGGAGCCGACCAGCTGCAAAGCAGCCTTGCAGAGAACACCAGCAAGCTGGCCATGAGCCGCTGTGTGCACTTGGCAGCAAAGGTGGCCAGCAGTCTCCTGGTCCGCATTAGGATAAATGTTGGCAGCAAGTTGTGGGAGGTGATTCTTCCCCTCTGCTCAGCCCTGCTGAGACACAACTCAAGTGCCAGGTCCAGTTTAGGGCTCCCCAGTCCAATACAGAGATGGGCATACAAGAGCGAGTCCAGTGAAGGGCCACAAAGGTGATTAAGTGACTGGAGCATCTGATAGACAAGGAGGAGCAGAGAGAACTGGGACTGTCTAGCCTGGAGAAGAGAAGGCTCAGCAGTGATCTTACCAATCCTTATGCCTGAGAGAGAGGAGTAAAAAAAAAAAAAAGAACCAGACTCTTCTCAGTAGCATCCAGCAACTGGACAAGCGGCAATGGGCACAAATGGAAATACAGGAAGCTCCATTTAAACATAAGAATGGACCTTTGTAGCGTGAGAGAGATCAAAACACTAGAACAGGTTGCCCAGAGATCTTCTGGAGTCTCCATCCTTGGAGATGCTTAAAAACCCAGCTTGTCACGGTCCTGAGCAACCTGCTCTAGCTAACCCTCATGTGAGCAGAGGGGTTAGACTAGAACTGCAGGAGTCCCTCCAACCTCAATCATTCTGTGATTCTATGAAAAGGACAGGGTCTTTTGTAGCCCAGGCATTGGATCAACTAAGTCACAAAGCAAACTATAAAATGTAAATGGAATATATTTTCTCTTTAAGTTATTGCATACAGTGTTAATTTTGCTGCCTGCGTTTTGCCGATCTCATTTTTTCAAATCTCGACTCCATTTCTTCCAGGACCTTTGGTGTGTATCGCACAACTAATTTAACCTTTCCTTGAGCTGCCTTCAGCAATTCTACTGCTTTTTCATGGTGTTCGCCTTCGACGCTCTGCAAAGAATAAACCATTAAGTATAGTATTAGTAAAGACACACACTGAAAACAGATTTTTTTTTTTTTTTCTTTTTTTTTTGTACAACTTCTATAAAACCAAGTATTGAAGTATTCTAGTTTGAAGACTGCACAAAGACAATGTCACCCAAGTTTGGGATTTACTCTTCAGCAAATCAGTAAGAGGTGATGATAAGTATCCTAATTAGTATTAACAAAAGAGTAGTGCAAAACTTTTGGTTACGTTTATGCCGAGCGATTAAATTCTGTATTTACATACAGTAAGTGAAATAAGAATAACGTTAGGCAATTATGAAATTACACTTAAAAATCTACAACTTCAGGAGGACGCTTATTTAAAATTCAAGATTGTATTTCTTCTTTCAGCATGCATTTTAAATTCAGTAGTCACCCTCAACTTGCCTAATAAGTTGCCACAGACAACTGCAAGATAGCTGCCGCCTTGGTATTATTATCTCGTGTCACGACAAGGCAAAACAGTGCACACTGGGCACCTGCAATAAAGCAGCTAACATGCAGCGTGTTGCTTATCTTAGTGCTCCACATGTCTCTCGGTAAATGCGAAGTATTCGAGTCAACTGCCTCTAAACTGATTAAGGACAACCTAACCCAACTCAGTAAGAAGAGAATAAGAATACTTTCCTAAAACAACGCTCAGAATTTATTAGGGCTATATTAGATTCATCTGATTACAAATTTTAAGCAGTATTTCTCAACAACTGCATCCAAATATACATTCTTGGACAGCATACATTTTATCAGCAAAACTTATTTCTCCCAAACTTATTAAACACAATGATGGGACTACCCCAAGCCTACCTCCCACTGGTGCTATTAGAAGCTAGAAGGCAGGTGATGTACCTGTTGATTGGAGGGTTTCCCCGTTACTATAAAGTTACTTACGGAAAGAAAGACAACAGTTAAAAAAACCCAAGTTATTTCTCTTCTATCAGACTTAGACAACACACACATTTGAATGTTTTCATTTTTGTTATTCAAGTGGATGTGTAGACTGTTCTGTTTAAAACTGGTAATAAAAGGTTTGTAAAGTTCTGTGTTTAATTATATCAAAACACCTAAAATTCTGGAGTACACTCAAAATCTCCCAGCTGAATAAACTTGTTTTAAGGCACATTCACTGCAGTCTTGGCAGTGGCAATTTAAAAAAAAATTATTAAATTAAAAATTAGTTATGAGAAAATACCTGTCATACGTATTAAGATGACAGGATTCCATCTGTAAAGATCAGAAGAGGATTCTTCTGGGACACGTTAGCATTCTCGACAGTATTTTATGCACTCACTCACTGTATTCTTACAATGGCGACATATACATGTGCATGCACACACACGCAGTCATTGTTAGCTGCACCAACTATCTGATGATCAGGTTCAGTTTGAGGTGGAGCGGTGGTTTTGTTTTCTTTAAAAGGGTCTGTGGATGAGGAAGGCCTCATCTGAAGACAGTTCTACACTTGTCCCTCAATGCTTCAAAATAACAGGAAGGCTAGGCCAAGGACAGTTGCATCACTACGGCCGTGATTTCTCTTACGTCTCCTGAAAAGGCCAGTTTGACTCCCAGGTAACAGTCAGGAGCCAAGTCAGTCAGAGATCTGTGCTAGCAGGGACTTCCCAGAGTACAGACACTCAATAAGTCTATTTGGTTGAAGTGCACAGGATTTAGTTTGACCCTCAGTCTCAAAATAAAATTGGGTTTGCAGATGTAATGACGAAAACATTAATTTTAAGCTAGCATACAGCTTCTCTGTAAATAAAAGCAAGGGTTTGAGAAATATTTACATGCATTTGACTCGCAGCTGCCTGAAGTCAAAGCCTGTATATAGCCTCCTCTTTCCAGTCACCCTGTGTTTTGCTTTTTGTGTTGTAACCCTCCAGAAGAGGATACTTATTAAAAATAAATATCCACAACAGCACTTTAGACACATACTCCTTAAAATATGCTAAAAAGCCTGTTTTTGAAGCTCAGTACACTTAAGTGGAAGGAAAAAAAAAAAAAATCACACAACTGACTATAACACCACCTTGTAGTTTCATCTTATTACAGGTTTCATTATGCAGTAGAATTTTCATTGGGATAATGAGAATCTGATCAGTTTAATGCAACATAGCGTAATTTACTACTTACCTTAGAAGGTGCAGAGAACTATATCAATTAAAATCTGTCTGCATCATGAAACTTGGATGAAAGAGGAAGCCATGACGGCAGTTACTATTTCACAAAACAATACTTTGACTAACTTTATACAACCCCTCAGAATCTGAAATACTGACATAAAAAGTACAGTTCCCAGTTGAAATAGATAACCAAAGCATAATCCTAGAACTCTCAACGCACACAACTCTATAGAATCTTAAGAAAGCTCTGCCATGTGTATTCTCTGTATGCCCCCAAGTGGAATCAAGTAGTTACTGCTACATAAAGTGAAAACCAATTCCTACCACTCCGTTTACAGAAAGCAGCTGGTCTCCACGTTTCAGGCCTCCATGTCTATCAGCTATACCGCCAGGGATAATTCGAGAGATATAGATTGGAGAATTTTGTTCTTTGCCTCCCATAATGTTGAATCCAAGACCTTCTTCGGTTTTGGGTAATTCAACCACTCTGGGATGGGAATGACCTTCGCTAGCAGCAAACGCAGCTACAGTGGCCTGTAAGAAACAAGATTTTTCTATTTATAAGAAATTAAATATAGACCCCTTAGCTAGACACAGTGAGCGGCTAAAGAAGTATTTTTATCTCAAAGTACTTAAATATTAAGACAAATTAGATTAATTCCCTAGATACCAACACTAGCATGAAAAATTCAGAACTCCAAGAATAAAATTAAAACAGAAGAAACTTAAAAATAACAAGTCTTTTGTTACACCTTTTAATAACCTCTTAAGCTTATCCATTTTATCAGACATCTAGATAATATCCTTCTGAATTTTAAATAATCTTCTGCTTCTAAAGTTACAAACTACTGTATTTCACACAAGTTATAGTTTAGCTTTTACCTTTGCTGTTGCATTAGCTCTAACTTCTGGGCTACTGCTGATATCCACAGTTTCATATACATGTTCATACACCTTTAGAGACAAAACAATTTAAGTATGGGGAAAACAGGTATTTTTCTGCTTAGATAATATAACACAATGTCAGGTACAACTTAAAAATGTGTAAATTAGGAAGTACACACCTCTAACAAGTTACTGATTCACTACAAGGTGTCAAATGACAATTTACCATACTATGAAGAAACAACTCCCTCAGCATCTTCACTGCTCAATTAATCTGTGCATATCTAGGTCTCAACTTAAATCTTCCCTCCTTCCACAGCGTTCAGACTTTAGCATTCATTAAGAAATGCTTGTGGCTAGTCTAACACACCTGACTGGAGACATGGATGGCTACCTTCTCTTCTTTGATTCAAACTGGAACTGTTCAATAAGGACGCACGCAAAAATCACTTAAGGACAGCTCTTTAAAGCTCTCCCAACAACCCAGCCCTCCCCCCAAAATCCCTTAAGTTCCTTCAACTGATGCAACTGACTGAACATCTTAAGAAAAAAAAAAAATGTATCAACAGCATAGAGGCAGTAAGAATACTAATGCTAAGGAGGTGCTTACACCGACAGCTAACCCACACCCCCACACCTACCTGCCATACATTTGGACTTGCTAAGCAACACACACACTGTACTCCATAGTACGAAAACATTATGATGACACCTGTGTCTACAAACTGATCTTTTACATCATTCCATGAGTTATCATCAGTGGTAGCACCAACAGCAATAGCAAGGCATACTCAACCACCTAAAAATCTCCAAAAGAGTATCTGGAATAAAGATGAGGTGGTGGAAGGCTCCACCTCAAGGCGATGTACAAGGCTACGTGGATTTGGCTTCAAAGAAACAGAGGCAATTCATACTTTGTCCATTCTTACATTCCAAGACGATACCAGCCTGCTACCTGCCAGTAAGAACAGACTCTCAAAATAACCTCTTTAAAAAGTTATTTGCTCCTAAGCCATTATTTAATATACCTATACTATCCCAAATTATCTTCTTTTGAGCTTTTAAAAATAGGTCTTGTTCTAATAAGCTCTGTAAGTCAAATTTAGCTTTTAGAAAGTACAAAATCAGGTTATTGTACTGAACAAAAAAAAGAAAAACATACTGTTTTTTAACTCAAGGTTTATGTCAAGTTACTTACCTCCCTTACAGCATTACAGAATTCACTTTGAAGGACCCTTTGCAAAGCCTGTAGCTTTTGTGGTGGCACTTCTCCACTTCTCTGTAATTTTTCCAGCAACTCAATTGCTCTGCAGATGTCTACAGAAAAATAAAGCACTAGTAATAAGGAATGCCTGAGGAAATTCAAGGGGGAGGGAGTGGATGTTTGTTGGGTTTGGGGTTTTGTTGTTTTTTTTTAGTTTTAAATTAAGTTAATGGAGCAGTCTGTGTGTGCGTGTGCACTTGTATGCACCTTAAAACTACGTATTAGTTTCACTTCCCACATAAAACTATCAATCTACAAAATGTTACAATAAATCAACATATTTTCCCCAGTATTTTTAAGTCAACCACAGCAACGCAACCCGGTAACATATCTGGAGGCATCACTGCCAGATGTAGATTTTAAATACAATCTGATTTTCCCTTGAAGTTTAAATCAGGCTGAAATATTTCATTGATATATACATTATCAACACTTCATAGGCGTAACTCACAATTTATCTACTGCACAGATAACATTTTGTTAAAACCCACTAGAATATTGTCAAATATGCTAACATCCTTTTTATGTTAAAAAAATAGTTCAACAAGAGTACACTTGATGCTGTCCCTACAACAGGGCTGAGAAATACCTGGCCTATTTTTTTTTTCCAAAGTGCTCAGAAAAACACCCAAACTCCTTTTGATATTCTCAGTTGAGAGAGAATGTCTCAGTAGTCTAGAATTCTCAATCCCAAACCTCTTTGTTCCAGTTCCTAGAAATTTGTTACTAAGAATTCACATCGTCCATATTCTCAAACGCAGATGGTGCTTTGTGAAACTGAACTCCCTGTGAAGTATTGGATTCTAGACCAGTACGAGTCAAGACAGGCATCAAACATGACATTAAATGCTATGTGACATGCCCTGCCAGCTCCACAAGAGTAGAATACGTTAATGTCCCTCACTTGTATTTCCAAAGCGTTATATTAGTGATGATTCTGAATCACGCAAGTCCTTGAACAGAAGTAGAACAGTCTCTCAGAAAAGCGGCTAGAAAGGATCACCTTCATTATCACAAAGGCAAAGCAGGAGTGATTAATCTACTATACAAATAAGGCACAGATTATTTTAGAAAATGATGAAGTCTGGGACACTGCTATATTCCAAACACATTACTTCCTTTTTTCAGTAATTAACCTTTAGGCAATCATTTTTCATCTGAATGTGTGTCTACTCAATGGCATCACGTCAGCACAGAAGACGTGCAGGAGCCACGAACTCCTGAAGTCCAAGCATAAGAAAAGAGAATTTATGTAACAGGATGAAAAAACAGTGGGGTGTATGTTCTGAAATTACCATCAAGTGCGCTGGCAAGAGACAACCCACAGCTATGTTCTATCCGCTTTCACAAATTATCAGTCAGACACATCTTACCAACTACTACACTGAGATCAAGTGTGCAGCCAATTAAACCAGGTACAACTTAACTTCACAGACTGGTGATCCACTAGCACACTTAAAGCTGTGTCTGTATCACGAACTGGAAACAAACCCTTCATGAAAGAACATCCAAGTGTTACCAGCACAGCCACAGGACACAAATTATTTCAGATGAGAGCTAAGGTTTCTATGTGCCCTGAGAACATGGCATTTTTTGGCAAGCATTTTCACACTTTACAAGCATCAGGTATCTAAAGCAAAGAAATATTAAAACCTAAACTCTAGCTGTTACTAATCCCAAGTCTCCAGAGAACTCGTTTCTCACAGACATGCATATTTTCTATTTGTACAACAATTATGAAATTAAAAAAAAGCCTCTAAAGCTTTTAATTTCCTAACACACATTTTGTGTTTTATTTAACATACAAAATATTTGATGAAATTAAAGAGATTCTGGATGTGATTGTTTATTAATCTTTCAATCTTTCTGATGCAAAATCACCAACATTCTTGGTGATCTTTGTGTTCAGCAATAGCAGTACAAATTACTATGACTTCATGAAGTCTCACACCTAACAGCTTTAAGTAGAATGATGAACAAATCACAATAGCAGCACTTCCAACCCTGCAGTGCCCCACATATTAATGAAAAAAGTCTAGTAAGTAAATTGCAACACAGCTACCATTTAAACACTCGAAGATGTCTGCAGGCAAATGACTATTTCATGCACACAAAGAGTTCAGTTCTACGCAGCCGTTCTCAAGTCCGTGGCCCATGAACCATGTTCAGCTGCAAGGTGCATGAACTTGTTATCTAACAGTTTGATTAGGATACTGCAAGAAATTTCAAAGGGTGACAGCAATCTACTGATCCAAAGAGTAGCTGGAGAAATCAAGACTCCAGAACTCCATTTGCTAATACCTCCTCTTTTTTGACCTCCATGTTTCATCACTAAACTAGACATATTTCCTACCTGGATCTCCTAGGGGCCAAAATGTTTAGCTACACAGCGTGTTATACCCTATGGTAAAATTGGCTAGTTTCAGATAAAGTGTAGACTAAGAGCACAGAATCTGCTTGTCAAAAAGTGACTGGGATTCATCTAAAAGGAATTCAGTTTAATATAACTAAAGCAGAAGATGCACTTCAATAAAAAAAAAAGCTTTCAGATCAAAGGACCAAGCCGCAGCTTAAAAACCCAAAGCAGACAAACACAGCATGAAAGTTGGGTCCTCAGCACTCTACAGATCTCCTTTTATTCACACTGCTCCTCTTGCTCAGGTAGATACAGGCAATGGACCCCATTACCAGGACACTTTTCCCCCAAATGTTGTTTTGTTTTACCTCGTTGACAGGAGCCCACTATACCAGTCTGAAAGTGAAATGAGCATAACTTTCTCATACTGAACTGCATTAGGCACTATTAGTCAAAAGCTGAAGATTCAATCTCTCCCAGAACACTGCTCTGGAAAGGAACTAGTTTGGCTGGGAACAGGTGGCAAAAGACACCTTCTTACAACTGTGCCCAGAGAAGAAAAAGATTGTTGACTGCTCTGCTGATGTAGTTTGCTTCCTCCTGAACTACTGCTCGGGGTATCATCAGCTGAAAGCTGTCCTCCTTGCAATATTAACACTATAGTTCGGCCAACTGTTCAGAACCAGAGACTGAAATGAACACTACGTAATTGCTCGCTTGATGGATTTTAACAAGGAACAATGCAGAAATAACTCCAGAGGTAGGTGATTAAAAAACCTTAGAACTAATTTTAAATGGGAAGCCAGGCATAATTAATACTCCTTTGAATCAGTTACTTGTTCTTCACAGATCATTTTTTGTGATCATGGGATACTAGATTGAAGTTCTGAAAACATGATACATTTGAACTAAAAGAATGTGGGGGAAAAAAGCCAGCAAGATGCCACCACTCCAAGCATATGTGTGAACAAAGCACAGAAAGAGGAAAAATGCAGCATTCTCATAGATACTTCTGATTAACCGCCTCCGCTGCTTATGTTCAAACAGTGGATTCCTAAGGTGTACATAGAGTTACCACACATCACCACCAAACCATAAGAATAACTTTGATGTTACATGTTTTTTTCATCCCTGCACTCCAGTGAATTTGGGTGGTGGCGTTTGCAATGCAGCTTAGAGGAGAGAATTTTCAATTGCCCTGATGGTAAGAGTATGGTAATCATTTTAAGTCAGCTAATTTTCTACACTATTCTCTCTTTTCTTATGCTATATGCCAACAATATTAGTGATGTCGACTTTCAAGCTCATGACGATTCATCATCACCGTCTGCAGTCAACCCTATACAATTAACAGAGGTTATTTATTTTTGTAAATAAAGCTCTTGTTTTGGTAGGTCCATTATACTGTGCTCCCTTTTTCTTCTTTTCTTAAAAAGACCAATAAGCCAGAAGACTAAATAGCTCCTTTGTTCCACTGATCCCTAAGTAACTCTGCAGATTTGTTTGTTTTCATGGACAGAGCATAGTGGCAGGGTAATGAAGTGGAGGAGGATGCTGCCTGAGGTTTAACTCAGCAGAGCTACCAAGAGCAGCTAATCCACTGCCAAAGCAGCTGCCCTAATTAACAAGCTTTGGAGTAGGGAGGGTAGATGAGCTGCTGAGCGGGAAACAAAGTTCTTACGTAAGTCACTATTTACAGGCCTTCTCTCACACATTGCAAGTGCTTCACTTGTGAAATGGGAAGGAGGGTCAGGCAAACAGGAAAACTGAATTCTGTGGTAGGTAACATGTGATAGTACCAAACACAATGAAGTGGGTATATACAGTGTACTATACATCTACAAAAACAGCATCTAGCACTGTGACCCAAGGTGGTGGTCCCAATGGGAATGGCAATAGGAAGAGTCCATCCAAACACCTATACTCCACTTAATTGCTTTCCTTTTCAAGAACAGGATTTCCACTCTCAGTATTCTCTTTCCATCTCTATTTTCCTAAATACACACTAATAAACCAATCCTATATCTTGTTATACAAGCATGTATTCACAGAGCTACTGTGGACCTCATGCAGGTCTGCAGAACCACAATGATAAAAGAAACAAACGCACTACATAAAAAAACTACAACTAGGTTTTGTATTTTATCAGTTTCCCTACTAATTCGAGTTACACACTGCACAGTATTAACAATACAGATTAAGACTATAAACTGGAAAATCACCTTGGAAAGCTTAAATGTCAGAGCATTATAGAGCTGAGCAGAACCATGAAAAAGTGCAGAGGGACTCCTGCATGTGTCAGCTGTCTTTTATAAAAACAAGTAAATTACTATTGCTAAGACACCGCCTAACAGATTGAACTTAAAGCTAAGAATTCAACTTTGTTCAAGAGTAAGTTTTCCCCGAATAGAAACAGAAACAAGGAGTTCGCAGGTGGAGTTGAGAGCTGGCAGAAGCGTTGACACTGGCGAAGACACTGCAGAACATGTACAGAAGATCTAGGGCGACTGCACCCATGAAAACCCAACCACAAACTGAAAGGTGAGAAAAATCTTCGGGAGCTGCATAAAGAGAGGCCGAAGAAGTAAGTCCCACCAACACGCCAAAAAGACCAGGAGCCAAGGGAAAGATTTTCAAAGCAGCTACCGCATGGCTGCTCTCCGGCTGTCTCCGCGAGGGAGGCCCCTCTCAGTGCCC